CAGGTGGCACATGCTTTTAATCCTGGCACTCTAGAGACAGAGGCAGGTGGATCTCTATGACTTTTGAGGCCGACCTGGCCTACAGCATGAGTTGCAGGACAGCCAGAGCTACAAAGAGAAACCATGTTTCAACAAACAAACAGCAAAAAGAAAGAAAAACAGAAAAGAGAACAACATAATGCCTATTCATTATTCACATTGGAGTAATAAAGCAATAATTTGCCCAAGGTTCCATAGCTGACAAGCCTGAAATCTAACCACTCTAACCACTCTTGAACTAGGGGTGAGCAGATGCTGGCAGACAGGCAGGCAGGCAGGCAGACAGACAGACAGACAGACAGGAAAAGGGGGCACAGATAGATAATACACCTGGCAAACTTCGGCTTCTTCCTCCTTTCTCTGACCTGAGACAAAGGCCTGAGGGCCTTTTCTCCCATCAGCAGGGCTCCTCTCCCAGCTCACCAGTCAGGACTGGTCAGATGTGTTCAAGGTCAGTCCTGAAGATGTTTTCCTGAAGCTATGGACCTATTAGTTTCCCTTTATTTGTCTCAATGACCAACCCAGCCTCAAGTTAGGGCAGAGGAACCTGCCCCATACTGCTTGCTGTAAATACACATTTGCCTGAAGCTCTATGTCTATCAGCTCCTCTTTGTTTCAACTGGTCAACTCAAAATTAGGGGAAGGGCACCCATTCGAGAATACCAAAAACACTTAAAACCCCAGTCCTCCATGGGAAAAACAGACTTCAGTCCCTGAATCCCTACCTCTGTTCTGTGGAGTCTTTCTCTCTGTGTGCTCTCTCTCTCTATCTCTCTCTGTGTGTGTGCACGCTACACTTTTAATAGCTTGTTGTCTATTGCTGTGTGTTATGTCTGAGATTTCCCCTGCTTTTTATTTCTATAACTGGCTGAGGAAAACAAACATGACCAAGACACCTAGTCAGTAACATTTAACTCTTAAAACCTTATTTCCTATTCTACTTCCTTGTATTGACCCAAATTTTTAGCTTAAAGATGAGTCTTACTCTGATGAAGCAGGGAGGAAGGAGGATTTTGTTTTTATGTCCCCCATACTCTATGACATAGTACTACAGTGTACATCTAAGTTTTAAGTTTTCAGTAAAAATCAGTACTGTTAAAAGAAAATACATATTATTCATACTTCTGAGGAGCGGTAGTACAAGTAATAAAGAAATGGACCAGGCTGAAATAGGACAGCTGGTACACCCTATCACTGGAACATTGATGATGTGATGACTATTTGTATATTTGCTTCCTAATAAAACATCAGCACCTACAATCCGACCTTATTATCTGGTAGCTGAAGGTGTCTCCTTTCCTACTACACCCAGCCAGTGCTAAGATTAAATCTTCTTGGCTTTCTACATAGCAGCAACCTGTTCAGAAAAGACAAAGCTTTCTTAGATGGACTGTCCTTAGATGCTGAGGTGCCGCCTCGGTCAGTCATTCACTAACATCTCCTGAATGCCTGCTGTGATTCCGAACTAGGTCAGGCATCATTTGCAAATGCAGGTTCTAACATGACAAAATGACTCATGGCGCCCTATGACTTACATGTCTACAGGCAAAGGTGGATGCTTTTGAATATGATTCTCAAACCTCATTTCTAAAAAGGCAAACAATATGATTTTCAAACCTCATTTCTAAAAAGGCAACAGAAGCTTTTGGGTTTCTCCCCCAAATGTCACAGAGGAATCTGAGCACAAACCTAAACAAGGAAATTTTAATTCAAGGTGTTCAGAGAAAGTACAGTGGAAATGAGGGAACTTGCTTGAAAAAAGCCATTTGAATTGCTAAAACTAAGCACACCAGAGTTTTGTGATTTAGGGTCAGCAGCAGCCCAGCCTTGGGAAAAATAAAAATATACAACCATTACTGCTTCTCCTTAGACAAATTCAAGGATTATAACTAAGGCTGGATGTGCTAGCCTACATCTATATTCCCAGCAGCAGGAGGTAGGAAAATCAGAAGTTCAAGGTCAGCCTCTTCTACATAGGAGTTTCACAATAGCCTGGGCTACATGAGACCCCCAACTTAACTCCTTCCCTTTCACTCCAACCTCCCACAAACAAACAAACAAAACCAGATTTACATGGATCTACCAAGGTTCCTTAAATTATACATGTATTGTCAAATCTAGCTTTTAAAAAAACACATCATTGTTTCAAATAAGAGGGATACTTTTATTTATATTAGTATCTGAGCATTAATAAAAATAATTTTGTCGGTAAGAGGGCTCTGCAAACTAAGGCACTTACAACCAAACCTGATGGCCTAAGTTTGATCTTAGAGACCCAGTTGGTAGAAGGAAAGCCCTAACTCCCACACGTGGTCTTCTGACACGAGTGCAACGTATGCACATAGTACATGTATGTACATAGATAGGCAAACACACAAAATAAATGAGTGTAATAAAAAAGATAAGGAATGAGCTTGAACCCAATTAGTAGAACTTTCTATAAAGTCTTCGTAGATACTGTATGTTCATATGCTGTGTTTGCTGCCTTTTTTCCCCCCTTTGTCAGTGTGACCAAATACCTAAGCGAAGCAACTTATAAAGGGTTTATTTTGGTTCAGGATTTGAAGGAATACCTACAGTCAGTCCGTCATTACAGTGGGAAAGAATGACCTCTAAACTCAAAATTTAAGTAAATTAGATACTCAAAGTCATGTTAAAATAGCAAGCAGACATCATGAATGAGTCTTGTTAAGGTACATGAAAAAAATCAAGCTAAATTTCCAGGGCCAGCCATGAGACAAATTATCTGAGGACACTTTCCTAGGCAATCCACCTCTGCACTGCTCAGACCCTGGTGAGCCACTTTCCACACTGACGCTGTCCTAGCTTGTATGGTGCTCTGGGTGTGCATTCTTATAATTTCCCTCATTATGATTTACCCTCCTAAGACTGTTTCTCTTTCTATGTGTGTCTGCCCAGAGGCAAGAAGACAAGGCTTACATCTGTAAGCTGGTTTTCACTCACTTACGTCACTCTCCTAAGCATGTCTTTGGTGGCTCTACTCTGGGAGATGGATGTGTTCTCCATTTGCTGATGACGTTGGTTTAATACTGCTCTCAAGAGACAAGTTGAGAAGGAGTTGGCTATTGGTTGCAGCTGAGGCTCTACTATACTATATGCAAAACCAAGGAACTGAGGAGGGAACACCTGTGCCCTCTAATCATCATTGTTCAAAAACAAAAAAAATCCTGTGATGAGGACACCAGATCCCATGACAGATGGCTGTGAGCCACCATGTGGGTGCTGGGAACTCAGGACCTCTGGAAGAATAGTCACTGCTCTTAACCTCTGAGCCATCTCTCCAGCCCAGTCTTAAGTCCAGTCAAGCCTGAAGTCACTCATCCTTTCTTTCCTGTTTCAACTAAGCCAGTAAGTTCCTTTTCTACTTATATTAGTTTTATATTCTACCACTTGGCACCTTAAAGTCTTGAGATTAAAAACAAAGCAAAAAGCATACAGTGATTGTACATAAATGTAATCCCGGCACTGGGCAGGTGGAAACCCAAAGAAGTTCAGCTACATGGTGAATTAGTTCAGGCCAGCCTATAAGAGCCCATCTCAAACATCTTTCCAGGGCTGGATTAGTTTAGCAATTTAGAGTGCATCCTGCTTGCAGATGACCAAAACTTTGGTTCTGAGGACCCTAACTCTAACCCTAACCCCAACAGGTGGCTCACAAACACCTGTAACTCCAGCTCCTGGGTATCTGAAATCCTTTACTGGCCTCCTTAGGCACATGTACTCTTGTGTACATGCCTACACACAGATTCATAAGATTATGTCATACAAACAGTAAAATTGTCACATGGGCCTGGGTCATTAGTAGAAAAGTAGGACATTTAAAATGACTAGGACATTAAAAAAAAATGATGAGACATTGAGTCGGATGGGTTACAAAGACTTTTCTGCATAAGCAGGTAAGTCTGCACTCAGTATAAGTTTTTTAGCGTACTCGTCAGAATAGAGCAGGCCCTGATTAGCAAAAATAGTGACAAGATAGCAGGCCATGGTGGCACATGCCTAGACCTCTATGAGTTCGAGGTCAGCCTGGTCTACATAGTGAACTCCAGGACAACCAGGGATATATAGAGAGACCTTGTCACAACCCCTCTCTAATAATGACAAATATTATTCCTCTGCCATGCTTTTTTCAATTTTAATATCACATCTATTTGTTTTGTGTCTGTCTATGTGGGGTAGAGAAACATGAGCAAACCAAGGCGTGTGTGTAATCAGATATCAACCCAAAGGCAGACATTGGTTCCTCCTTCCACCATGGCACAGGGGATTCCTGGGGATCAAACTCAGGTTGTCAGGATTGGTAGCAAGTCTGTTTACTCAACTGTCATTTCTTTATTTGAATGTAGACTGAAATATCTCTTCAATTGCTTATAATAAATTTTGGTTTATGTATGTAAGTATTCTGTCTGCATGCATGTTTGTATACCACTTGCTTGCCTGCTTCCTGAGAAGGCCAGACGAGAGCACTGGGTCCTCTGTAACTGGAGTTGGATGGTTGTGAGCCATCATGTAAATGCTGGGCATTGAACCTGAATCCCTCTGAAAAAAGTAGCCTATGTAATTTACACCTGAACTATCTCTCCAATCCCTTCCATTGTTTTTTTAAATAAAACAATCAGCCCAGCTATCTCATCATCAACTGAGGTGTAGTATAAAAATAAAATAGAAAAAGGATTTCTGTTATAACAAGATAAAGTAGCTAGGACTATCATATAGTAATAGTAATGGATGCAGTATCATGGGAGGGTATAAATCACCAACTCAGCCACATGACTTTTAATTCCAGCACTCAGGGAGCAGTGGCAGACAGATTTCTGTGAGTTTGAGGCCAGCCTGGTATACAAGGCAAGTTTTAGGACAGACTACACAGAGAAACCCTGTCTCAAAAAAAAAAAAATAATAATAATAATAATAATAATAAATAATCACAAACTCAAGTATTAGTGTGTTAAATTTTTCATTCTTTATTCCTTATCAGCAGAAAACAGGTGGTATTTCCCCAACTACTGATTTAGAGATGTTAAGAAGCACCAGTAAGTTTCACAGAGTAACATTCAGTAATCTCTTTAAATGCAATTTTAACCCTTATTATAAACTAAACAGGATAATTTAATGCAATAAGCTAAATACACACAAAGCCTGCATATCACTAACTACAAAAATGGTTTTGCATGGCCACACATAGGTTTAGTCAACTATACATTTTCACAATGAAAGTACTTACATTGATGTCACTAACACCACCCAAAATACCTGTCCTGACATCAGGTTTATAAGCTTTGCCATCCCTACTACTGAAAGCTATTATTTTTAGAAACTTTACTGTTACCAAGAAGATGACCACTAATACTTAACAAATAGTAGTTTCTCTTAAAAAAAAAAAAAAGTATTCTTTAGAAAATATTAAAATAAATGCTCTATTAAGACAAATAAACATTCTTACAAGAACTAGGTTCCTAAAAGAAATACAAACTAACTAGTTCATTCTCTTTAATAACTTCTCCTGCCACTGTCATAAAAACTTGAAATACAAACACAAGTCTCAACTTTCATAAAGTCAAAAGGATATTTAGATTGCATATTATGCAGCTATGGTAGATAGCTTGGAATACACAAGTCTACTAAATACTACTTTACCTTTTTCAGATGGAACTACACAGCTGGCAATACTTTTAAGTTAGTAGTCATTAAAGCCCAGGAAAGAATTAAATATAGTCAGATAAAGACAGGCAATGAAAGGCTCGAGTTATAAAGCTAAAATTGAAGGCCTCCTTCATTGCATACCTAGCTATCATGATATTACTGTAGACAAGTTATAATGCGTGGTTTCCAAACAAAATATCAAAACTTCAGATATTACAAACGGTGTCAAGATCCATAGTTGGCTTCGTCAAAGGCTTTTCTAGCCCGTTTCAATTCTTCATTCATAGTAAGTAAGTCTTTAACTCTAGCAAACTTCCTTGGGTCCTTTCGAATCAGGAAGACAATATCTTCAACTTGCACTCGACCTTGTCTTCCAATGGACATTGCCTTGTGAGTCTATGACAAGGAAATACACTCATTTTTAAAAGTTAAATATTTCAGCTACTCATTTGTGAGCCATCTGTATGATCATCCCCTTCTCCTTCTCTATTGCATAAGGACATTAAAACCACCAAAGGGAGCTGGATTAGTTAGCTGATACACACCCTCAATCCCAACACAGAGACAGGCAGATCTCTGTGAGTTCAAGGCAGACCTGGTTTATATAAACATTTATATAGCAAATTCCTGGTTTAACAGCAAGTTCCAGGCCAGACAGGATTATATAGTGAGACCCTGCCTCATAAATAAGTAATAGATAAATACCAAAAATAACAAAATCTATCAAAGTTGGAAATACTTCTGTTTTGTTTTGTAATATAAGTAGTTTTTGTTTTGTTGGGGGTGGGCTGGTCTTGTTAAAGGTGTTCTGGAGTGCTAGTGAATAATAACATTAGGGTTTAATAGTGTGGGAGGAAGGGAAGTTTATGGAAACTAATAAGACCGGTCAAGACTGCTTAGGCCTTATAAACCAAAACCTATACTTGAAGACAGAATTGTAACAATTGTTATTGTTGTTTCTGTGGCATGGTCTCACTATATACTTGAAAAATTCACTATGTAGACTAGCCTGGTCCTGAACTCAGGCCCACTTGTCCAACTCCTTACTATTTATCTTTTGAGACAGGGTACCTGTATATAGCCCAGGCTGGTCTCAACTGAGGCCATCCTCCTGCCTCTGTTACAAGTTCTGGGATTATAAACACACGTACCACACTACCTAGCTTTGTTTTGTTCGTTGAGACAAGGCCTTGCTTTGCAGCCGAGGCTGGGCTTGAAACTGGGGTCCTCCTGCTTCAGCCTGTGAATGTTAGCATGCTGCGATTACAACCTCTCATACCTGGCTGTTTTGTTAGTGTTTGGGTATGGTTTTTTGCTTATTGTGGTTTTTTTGTTTATTTGTTTGTTTCATTCTTTCATTTTATTTTACTTTTTGAGAAGGTCTCATTATGTAGCTCTGGATGGTCTAGAACTTGCTATACATAGGCCAGGTTGGATTTTTTTAACTTGTAGTGATACTCCTGTCTGTCTCTGGAATTCTGGGATTGCAGGTATGATTCACTATATCCAACTTTGTCATTTAATATGGTGCTGGGGATGGAACCCAGGGCCTCACAGACATGCTAAGTGCATGATCTACCACCACTACTGTTGCTGTTTCTCCTCAGTGCTGTAACCCAGGGCCTAACACACTAGGCTTGGACCTTGCACCAAGTTCAGCCTCTGCCCTTGCCGAATAATTTTTTTCACTTTTATTCTGTAGTAAGGAAATAATCCAAAATAAAGGATGAGCACTCATAAGAACTACATGCAGCCAAACTCAGTAACCACAACCCTGCTAATATATCCAAAGAAAGGAAAGGAAGAAATCTGTAAAAGTGGTCATTCAAGAGGTTAGACTCAGAGTTGGAGATGTAGCTTGGTGATAGTGCATTTGCCAAGCATTCAAGAGAACAAAACCAACTGTAATATAGAACTTATACAAGAAGGTTATGGTTAATCATAATCAGTATGATAATCAATATGGTAAAGCAGTTTGGAGCTCAGTTTGTAAGTTTGCCTAATATATACATGTATAAAGCCCTGGTTTGATCACCAGCAGTGAATAAATGGGCCTGATGGTACAGCCTGAATTCCCAGCACTCAGGAAGTGGACACAGGAGAGTCAAAACCTTGAGGTTGTCTCTGGGTTCACAGTGAAGCCAGCCTGTCTCAAGGGGGAAGAAATAAAATTCAGATGAAATTTTGTTTTTTTGTTTTTTGAGACAGGGTTTCTCTGTATTGCTTTGGAGCCTCCTAGAACTCGATCTGTAGACCAGGCTGGCCTCAAACTCACAGAGATCTACCTGCCTCTACCTCCCAAGTGCTGGGGTTAATGGTGTGCACGCCACCAATGATGGGCTAAATTCAGATGAATGTATACAGCTACTAAAATAATTAAGATGAAAACACATATTGTAAAACGTTTAAGAGTAAAATGAATGTTATTATGATCACTATTACGGAAAACACTAACTTAATTTTAATTTTTGGTTTTGTTTATCTTTGGAGAGGGTTCCCAAAGATTTAAAAATAAAAGCCCAAGGTATGACATAAACTGTACATACCTTTAAATAAATACTGGAAGGAAAAGAACTTAGGCTGTATGACATTATGACCAATACTTTTTCATTTTATTCAAGGATATCATTTTAACAAATAAAACTCTGAAGCTGGAGAAAATGCTCAGTGCTGTTCTTCCAGAGGATTGGAGTTCAATTCCTAGCACTCACATGGCAGCTCACAACCATCTATCTTTAGTTTCAGGAGACCCAACACCTTCTTCTGGCCTCTGACAACATCAGGAACACACACAGTACAGAGACCTACTTGTAGGCAACACACACACACACACACACACACACACACACACACACACACTGAAATAAATAAGAAAACAAACAAAACTCAGAAGTCTGAAATTCATTTATATAATCTCCATTATTAATGGCAACTTAAATTAGTGGCAATAGAAGCCAGAACTTGCACAAAGTAGGTACTCAGACAGACAGCTTATTTCAAAAGTTTTGGTGTAATTCAAGCTTAGAATTTCAAATCTTCAATTACCTAAAACATTTACAAAAATAAAAGCAAAAGAATGAATACATAACTGTCTTACCATTTCAGTAATGAATTCTATGACAAGGTCTTCAAGAATATCCACTGACTCGGTGTAAGGATTCTGGTCATCCCCAAACCCATACATCATACATCGTACTGTGAAAAGAACAAGAGCTCTGGTTTACTCAGAGACCGACCAATTTCACCAGTACCTTTTCCATACCAGTCCATACCAGTCAGAATTAAACAAAATTATAAACAGTGGTGTAAAAACACAATTTACAGCTTTTTAAACCCAGCAGTCAGGAATCAGAGACAAGGGAATCTGAATTCAGGCCCAGGCTGATCTACATAGTGAGACCATGTCTCAAACAAAATATTACAATGGTCTCCAAGTATGAACTTTGGTATAAAAACGTCTCAGCAGTCCTACTATTTACTACCAGTCCTACCAGTCTTACTATTTAGCCTCCATAAACCTCCCTCCAAGCTACTGAACCCTAATATTACCATTTACCTGATCTCTACCACCCATTCACTAGCCCCCCCCCCAAAACACCGTTAAATGTAGTAAGGACAGGGCTAGGGATAGCTGGGCCCCTCTCTCTCTCTTTCCCCCACCACCCTTTTTTCCTCCCCCTCCCTTCCTTTCCTTTTCTTTCTTTTTTTTCTTACGCTCTGGCTATCCTAGAACTCACTTTATTTACCAGGCTGGCCTCAGACTCACAGACATCCACCTGCCTCTGCCTCCTGAGTGCTGCAATTAAAGTCATGCACCAGCACACCTGGCCTGAAAGATTAGCCTTTCCTGCAAGTGATGTGGGAATATGGGAAGCGGTGGGACACTGGAAAGGAGAAGGCAAAAGGTCCCCAACATTACCATAGGGGAAGGGCGTGAGAGAAAATGCTCCATTAACTTCTTATAAGAAACAGGCTAAAGCTGGTTGTGGTGGTATAGGCCTTTAATCCTAACATTCGGGAGGCAGAGGCAGGAGGATCTCTGAGGTAGAGGCCAGCCTGGTCTATAACATGAGCTCTAGGACAACCAGGGCTACACAGAGATTCCCTGTCTCAAAAAAGTCAAACAAGAAAAAAAGAAACAGGCTGAAGCCCAGAATACAGAAAAGAGAAGAAAAGTCTAATTCAGAGTAATAAAAATAACTGCAAATAGTTATTTAGTATATCCTATAGGCCAGATAGCTTTTAAAGGCTTTTCATATGTAATTCATTTAATTCTTACACAGGCCTCTAATTTAGACACTATCGGTATCCCCATTCTATGAGTGGGAAAACTAAGGCGCTAAGGACACACAGGTAGTTAAAGGGTGAACCTTAAGTATGACCCCAGTTGATCTGAACCACAGCAGTAATGCTCTTCTTTGTAGCTAAGAGCAAACAAGACTCATGTGCTCAACCTGTGGTTGACATATTCCAATTAACTTTGCAGACAGGCTTCACACATTAGCTGTACATATACATTCTCTAGGAAGAACTGAAATTTTTGTCAGGTTTTCAAAGGGTATGCAGGGCTGAAGAGATGGCCCAGCGGTTAAGAGCACTGGCTGCTCTTCCAGAGGTCTGAGTTCAATTCCCAGCATCCAAATGGCAGCTCATGAGCCAATGCTCTCTTTTGGTGTGTGTACATACATACATACATAATACATACATATATACATACAATACATAAGGAAAAGGGGTATGCAAATGCTGTCAGAGCTGGAGTGTCTTCTATCTTTGGATAGATTTGGAAAGGATCTCACTTGCCTGTACACCACCATGTTCTGTTTTATTTTGTCTGTGACAGGATCTCACTATGTAGGTCAGCCTGGCTCAGAAGTCTCAATCCTCCTGCTTCTACTTCCTAAGTGTCAGGGTTATTTTATCTTGATCTCAGTAGTGACCAAAAGTATACATACATAAATCTGACTGGGTTGTTCTCTTAGGGCACGCCCAATTTACTGTATGCAAGTTTTATATTTTTTAAAGAGGAAGTTGAAGGGCTGGAAAGATGCCTCTGTGGATAAAGATACATGCTGTGCAATCCTGATGGCCTAAGTTCAAGCCCTGGAACCCATGTAAAGGTGGAAGGAGAGAATCAACTTCACAAAGTTGTCTACTGCTCTCCTAATGCATCATGGAACATGCACATCCACACATATACTAATGAACATAAATAATAATGATAATAATGATGATGATGATAATACTAGTAATAAATGAAGACTTAAAAAGACAGTAGGCGGGTGTGGTGGTGCAAGCCTGTAATCCCAGCACTTGGGAGGATTTCTGCAAGTTCAAGGCCAGTCTGGTCTACAAAGTGAGTTCCAGGACAGCCAGGGCTGTTACAACAGAGAAACCCTGTTTCAAAAAAACAAAAATAAATAAATAAGTAAAATAATATATAGAATTAAAATAAAATAAATAAAGGACAGAGTCTCATTATGTAGTTCTGGCTGACCTGGAACTCACTAAGTAGACCAGAATAGCTTTCCTTAGTGCTGGGATTAAAGGCAAGCAGCACCATGACCAACTATATTTTTTTAAGGAACTTAGAATATACTTCAAGGAAAAAAAAAAAGAAGTACATTAATACATTCCTTTTACAGTATTTACAGTATTTTTATTTTAAATATCTAATTAACTATTTGGAAGGGGCTGGAGAGTGTCACTCCATGTAGCCCAGGCTGGCCTCAAATTCATAAATCCTCTCACCTCAATCTCCTGAGTATTGGAATTAAAGATATGTATCATATATTCAGCCTTAAAATAATTCTTACTTAAAAGCAAAAACCGGCAGAGCCAACAAAGAGGAGAAATGAAAGGGGTGACCTGGAAGCCAGCCTGGAGTACAGTTATCCTTTGAGTTCAAAAGGCCAAGAGACTTCAGGTCCCAACACAGAAGGAAGAAAACAGAGAAGTCAATATTCTCTGTTTCTTTTTTAACTCTATTTTTAAAACTTGCCTTTTTAAGAGTCAATTTTAGGCTTATAGGTGAGTCATAAAAATAGGAGAGTTTCCATATGCTAATATCTCACTTCCAATTATAACATTTATATAACAAATATTCATCAAAAGACATTCAACAAGATCTGACTAGGATTCTCTTTAAGTGTTGAGTTCTTGAAAGACAGGGAAGAGCTAAGGAGTTGTCACTGAGGTGTGACAAGTAAGTAGAGTGGAGTCTGGGTTCAAGGCCCAGGGAGTATAGCTCAGTGGTAAGGGAACATGTGGTAAGGGCCTAGCACATGTGAATTCAGGTGGGGGTTGGGTGAAAGCAAGGAATCTGAACAGAAAATGGACCTAAGTAGAAAAATAAGTACAATGTATATACATGTACGTACACACACACACACACACATACACACACACACACACACACCAACAATCAATAAAAAATGAGGCCATGGGGCTGGAGGGATAGCTCAGCTGTTAAAGGCTAGGTTTACAACCAAAAAATGAGGCTATGAATTTGAAAAAGCAAGGAGGGGTCTATGGGAGGGTTTGGAAGGAGGCAAGGGAAAGGAAAATTATGTAATTACAATTTCTTAAAACATGGCCCAGGGTGATGGCTCAGCCCGTAAGAGCACCTGCTGCCAAGCCTGAGGACCTGAACTCCCTCCCTGGAACCCACATGGAGAGAATCATGGAGGCAAGAGGGACAGCAGTTTAAGACCAAGAGCCTGTCTGAAAAACAGCAAAAATAAGATACACGAAGACTTGAAGATTCTATTCAGCCAATTCGAGAAGCCTGTGAGGACTCCAAATTTTTGTCACAAAGGTAAAGCAGTTGAAACTGAACTAAAGGTTCGAATACCACTTCTAGACTGCTTTGGTGTAAGGATCCTTTTCCTTAGGGACGTAGAATAGCAAGTGGTCAGACTTAAACAACAAATGAAGACACTGGAAAGGATTTTGTTCTTGTTTGAGACAGGATCTCACATAGCACAAGCTGGCTTCAAACTATTTAGCTGAGGATAACCCTGAACTCCAAATCCACCCGTTCCTACCCCTCCCAAGAGCTGGGATTGTAGGTGTGTGCAACCATGTGTGGCTGGAAAAGGATTTAGACAGCTGAAGGCAGATCTTGCAGTTTCAAGAATTTTTAGATACTTATGCATTCAGGCATTCATAAATCTATATTGCTGTACTTCTCAATGTTCAGGCCATGGACCATGGGCATGGAGATGGAGAGTACATTCTCTTGGCGTCATTCAGGAGTTAGTATGGGCCATGACAAGGAGAACAGCCAACCTCACTGCTGCCCCAAAGGGCCTAACTTGTCTGCTGAAGGAGTAAGAAGGCCAGCACATCATAATCTCCGTGCCACTATTAGTACTGCACACTTTACCACCTTCTTACCCCGTTCACTGCCTTAGTCCAAAGCCTCAATTTACATCATTGAAAGGTACACACAAGAGGAATACAACTTCAGTTACACAATGAGTACAAGACTTGTCTAGGATACAAGAGACACTGCTAAAAACAAAACAAAGGGAAAAACAGCAACAAACAAACACAAACAGAAAAAGGGTGGTGGTGGTGCTCAGGATGTGTCTCAGTTAATATAGAGTGCCAGCCCAACACACACAAAGCCCTAGGTTTAACCCTCAGCAAGACATAAACTGGGAATCATGGCACAAGCCTCTAAGTCTAGCACCAGGGAAGTAGAGCAGGAGGACCAGGGGTTCAAAGTCATACTCATCCACATAGCAAGTTTGGAGCCATCCTGGGATACAAAAATCACTGCCTCAGCTGGGTGATGGTGTGACACATCTTTAATCCCAGCACTCAGCAGGCAAAGACAGACAGAGTTCTAAGGCCAGCATGGTCCACAGATCAAGTTCCAGGACAGCCAGAGCCACACAGAGAAATCTGTCTCAAAAAAACAAAAGAAAAAAAAAACAAAAGAAAAATAAAAACCGGACCCCCACCAAAAAAAAAAAAAAAAAAAAAAAAAAAAAGGCAATGATGATCACACCCATCATTTTATGTGCCATACACAGTGTTAGCACACATGATTCAGGAAACAGTTATGCTGAACACAGGGGTACAACACCTGTAATCCCAGCACTTCAGTGCCTAAGGCAGGAGGATACCACCAATCCAAAGCTAGCTTGGGCTACACAGTGAGGGGCTCCAGAGAAGCCAGCACTATACAGAGACTGTCTTTTAAAAACACAAGCAAAACAACAATAAAATCAGACAACTTCATAGGCAAGTTTGAGAACACCGTCCCTACAGGCAAACATATGAAGAACAATAAATCTACGTTAAAAGGACATGTTCAAGCTTTCACCTTCTATAACAAAAGCATTGCAAAGCACTTACATTCTTTGGAGAAAAGTCTCTTTCTTTTCCCCTGTCCACCTTCTGCTCCTCCCCCAATTTCTTCATTTTCCTCTTCAAACTAGAAATTTGAAAACACACAAAGACAAGTCAAACGACTGTACTGGATTTGATATTCCACTGAGTTCTGCTCTCATGTGTGCAGTGAATTGAGTCCAGGAGCTCAGATCCTAAACAGGTGCGCAGCCACTGAACTGTAGTTCTCACCTTGCTTTGTTTGTTTGCTTGTTTGTATTTGAAAGATGCTAGTTTGGTGTATTGTGTGTGCCTACATTGACCATTTGCCTGCTGGTGACCACAGGGGCCAAAATTGGGTGTTCAGTCCACTGGAGCTGTAGTTACAGGTGACTGGGTTGCCAGATGTGACAGTAAGTGCTCTTAACCACTAACGTTATCTCTCTAGACTTTTGTTTTGTTTTGAGACAAAGTCTCACTGTGTACTTGTCTGCCTGGAACGAAGAGGTCCACTTGCCCCTGCCTCCTGAGTGCTGGAATTAAAGGTGTGCACCACCATGCCGAGCGAGTGGCCTTTTCTCATTAGTGATAAACTAAACTGAACAGCACAACATCACGAAAACTTAGCCTCAAAGGGTTCTTAAGACCTAGTCCACTTCTCAGGTCATGAAGGAAGCCTTCTATTATGGCCCCTAACAACCCTGCAACTATGTGGGTAAAAGTTCTAATGACCTAAGCCGGGCAGTGGTGGCACACGCCTTTAATCCCAGCACTCGGGAGGTGGAGGCAGAGGCAGGCGGACCTCTGAGTTCGAGGCCAGCCTGATCTACTGAGCGAGTTCTAGGACAAGCTCCAAAGCCACAGAGAAACCCTGTTTTAAAAACCAAAACCAAACCAAAAAAAAAAAAAAAAAAAAGTTCTAATGACCTCGGCTTCTGGGTTTTGCTTTCAGCCAACTAAGTTGTCATACTGCTAGGCAATGCTACAGTAAAATACCTGATAACTCAGTTGTCATCGGAACCAACATTTACCCAGAACCTAGCAATAAGGGGCTAAAAACTCCCTAAGAGGGCCTGATCCTATCTCATGACAAGAAAACCCATGGCTGAAGCCAAAGAACTTCCTCAGAGAAAAAGCAGAGTTTGGACTTGAAGCTTCCTGACTTTGAGTCCATCGTTTCTGCGCTACCTTCACAAGCTCTGTTAGCAGCTGGGCATTAGCTTGATCTCCCATAACCCGCTAGGTGTCTCCAAAGTGTCTGGCGGATCCAGAGCTAAGGGAGCCCCTTCCTACTCTTCCTTCCCGTCCTGCCCCACGACCTAGGTAAACGCGAGGAGGAGGAGGACACTGCGGAGTCCCCCAGCTCTCGGCTGGATTCCCTACGGAACGCGAGGACACGGGCTGTGACAGGCGCTCACTCACGGTGGGGTCTTCCTCCTCATCTGCCATCCTAGCTGCTCGCCAGCCTTGTGAGCGCCGCCCCGGCCGCCGCCGGCTTTTATAACATCCGGCGCGTCACTTCCGGCCTGGCGGGCGCTGCGTCTGCACGATGGCGCTCTTTATCCGCACAGCCCGGCTTCCAGACTGGCTGAAGAACAGAGGCGCGCTCTTAGGCGTGGAATCCTGAAGAAGGAATGGAAACATCAGCGCCGAGAGGCTGCACTGCGGAGGTGCACGCTTTGCATCCCGGCCCCAGGGAGGCAGAGGAAGAGCCATCTGTGTGAGCTACCGAGTGAGTGACAGGACAAGCTCCAAAGCTACTATCTCGGAAAAAACAAAACAAAACAAAGAAGCTATCCTGGACTCAGGAGGGTGAGGCAAGAGAGCCTCGAGTTCGAGAGCAGCCTAGGCTACATGAGTCCACGTCTCAGAAAACATGTATGATTTGTACATACACATGGAGGTTTATAAATAAATGCCTGTAATTGTAGCTCCAGGAGGGGAAATGATGGATTTTACCTTCCAGATCTAATGCACTCAAGTACACAAGCCACACAGTCAGACATGCTTTTAAAAAAAATCTTTATAGTGGATTTTGTTGTTGTTGGTTTGTTTTTCTTCGAGACAGGGTTTCTCTGTAGCTTTGGAGCCTGTCCTGCTGGAACACGCTCTGTTCCCGCTGGCCTCGAACTCAAAGGTTCGCCTGCCTCTGCCTTCCAAGTGCGGGGATTAAGGTGTGGGCCACCACCGCCCACCTTTTTAAAATATAATCTTTATGTATATGGGTGTTTTGCCTGTATATGTACCACATGTGTGCAGAGCCAAAGAGACCGGAAGAGGGCATCCAATTCCCAGGGACTGGAATATATATATTACAAAGGATGGGCTGGAGAGATGGTTCAGCTAGTGAAAGCTCTAGTGGAATAAGCCTAAGGTCTAGGTTCAATCCCCGGGACCGTGTAAAAGCTGAACAGTGAGATGAGAGCATCGTTTCCACAGGGTTGTCCTTTAGCTTCCATACACAATAATAAGTAAAAATTTTAAAATTACAAAAGAGCTGTGTGTGCTGATGCATGCCTATAATCCCAGCCTCTGAAAGCAGAGGCAGGAAGATCTCAGGGAGTTCTAGTCCAGCCGTGGCTACATAGTGAGACCATGTCTTTAAAAAATAAAAAAGGGGGACTGGAGAGACTATTCAGTGGTAGAGATCACTGGCTGCTCTTCCGGATGTTGGGAAATTTAAGTCCTTGTCCCTTACAGCTCTCTTCTCCCCACCCAGATGTAGAACTTCCGTGCAGGTTGAGCAAACAAGGTTGTTTTCAGAACTTTCCCGTGAGCAATGCAGGTACCTTGACCCCAGGAGTGGTTGGTGCATGACTTCCTCCTATGCTTAGCCCATCCCCTGGCTTGGTTATATAAGCCCATTGCTCTCTGTAATAAACAGCAGCAGCTTCTTCACTTCTCGTGGTGGTCTGTTAAGTGTTTCAATCCCGACACCCTCCACCAAGCTCAGTACTCTGGTCACGAGGGAGGTCCGGAGGACCCAGTTTCAATTCCCAGCACCTACATGGCAGCTCACAACTGTCTGTAACTTAAGTTCCAGAGGATCCTACATCCTCACACAGACATACATGAAAGCAAAACATCAATGAATGTGAAATAAAAATAAATTTTAAAAAATAAAAATAAAAGGGTTGTTTATTATTCTTTTAATGTTTAGAGAAATAACATCATGAACCAAGCAGGTGCATCTCGTCACTCCAATTTGTTACTTTGGATCTGATCAATGCCTTCTGATTCCAGAGGCAAAGTATTGCTATATACAATTGTCAGCCAAGGGTCTCTGGACTGACTAAAGGATGTACAACCACGAACCGTTCCAAGGACTGCAAGTCTTTCTGTTCATGTACAGTGTTACAGGAGGACATCCTGATTCACTTCCAGTTCTCAAAGGAACAGTTTTCTTCAGCTGAGAGGGTTTAGGGTTTTGTTAGATACATTTATTTGGTCAAAGCGCTGACAGAGGAAACCACATTGGAAGGGTAGAGCTAGGTTTGTAAAATGACCTTTAGTGTGACCTCTCAACAGCACACGGTTTGCTAGTCCAGTCAACACCAGTGAGTGAAAAAGACGATCATCTGAGAGTAAAACCTCTCTGTTAACATATTTACAAAGTGAGTTTTCCCCACAGACATCTATAGCACTCGAGAGAATGAAGCAAGAGAGTGGCACTGCCCAGCCTGGGTAATATAAAGAGATCCTGTCTCACCCTCCGATATCCATAACAAAGATACAGTAATTTTTTTTTTTTAAGTAATTTCTTTCCTGTTGGTTAGACCTTAGTAAGAGCTGTGAACTATTTCAGGCAGTAATGTTACCAAAGAACATATTTGTAATAATAGGAAGAACCAGTTTGCATTCATAGCTAACTGAAAATCTAAACTTGGCTGGGTATGGTAGTGCAGGCCTTTGATCCCAGCACTCAGGAGGCAGAGACAGAGGTAGAACTCTGACTTTGAGGGCAGTCTGGTCTACAGAGTGAGTTCCAAAATAGCCAGAACCCTGCCCCAAAACAGCAAAAAGGAATTAGAGTTTGCTAGAGAGACGATGGATCATTGGTTACAAGTACTTTTTGTTCTTGGGGAGAACCTGGATTCAATTCCCAGCAACCACACTCACCTCAGTCTGTGACTCCAGTTCTGGAGGATTTGTCGCCCTCTTCTGGCCTCCAGGGGCACTGTATACAGCAGTGCACTTAGATACAAAACACTCATACAAATAAAATTCAAAAACAAAAACTTTTTTTTAATTCCTAGAGTTATTGTATCCTCTACTGTAGTGATGTCTACACATTTACATATCAAAACATGAATTAGTTTTGATGGTGTTGGTCACACACACTCACACACACAGACTGTTTTTTGTTTTGTTTTGTTTGAGATAGAATCTCATGTAGCCCATGTTGGCCTCAAAGTTACTTGGTAGCTGAAGATGACCTTGAACTCTTGATCTCCCAGTCTCTACCTCTCAAGTGGTGGGATTACAAGCATGTGCCATCACATCAGCTACATATTTCAAAGTATATTAGTAGGCAAATGTACTTGGCATTTATTGTGTAAAAATAACAAAACATAGTAAAAATAACAAAAGTTAGTGACAAAACACATTTTTAAAGTTGGACATAGTGGTATATGCCTGTAATTCCAAGAAGAGAGAAGCCAGCGGGACTCTACCGCAAGATCTGTCTCAAAACAAAATAAACACTGAGGGTAGGGTGGCTCAATAGGAAAGGGCTGTTGCCACTAAGCTGGACAACCTGAGTTTGGTTCCCAGGATCCACAAAGTAAGAGAAAACCAGCCCCAAGTTCAAACAACGTAACACAGTGCTTGTGGGGCAGGAGCGTGGGTGCATTTTATTTGGCATTTCTAGCGCCTTTGCTGTAAAGAGCCATTCCCGAAGATGGCGCCGGTTTCCTGTCCATAAGCCAGCAAGGTGCAGATACGCGATCCACATCATGGGGCGACCGTTACAACCGTTGCGGGCTGCACTTGTCAGTAACGGACACGACTCCTTTGAGCATATATAAGCAGAGCCCTTTTTCTTCCTCGGGGTCGTCCCTCAACTTGCTGTAATGAGCCGCGCAATAAACATAGCTGCAGAAGAATCCTGTTGTTGAGCGTCGTTCTTGCAGGCAAGGCGATAGCGCTTGACAAGTGGTGCCGAAACCCGGGAAACTGACATCAACGGCACACGGGGGACCCTTCAGGAGACTGGAGAGGATTCAGAACTGTGGCACAAAGGTAACAAATAAGGTGAGTTCTGATAGACATGCTATCAGGAAAGCATGTCAGAAACAGAACGTAATGAAAAGTTGGGTGCGCATAAAAAGAAAAAGGCTAGCAAAGAGAAAGTGAAAGAGCCCCAAGAGACTGATCACAATAAATAAATAAATAAATTAATTAATTAAAAAAATAAAATAGAAAAGAAACAGAATAATAAAAAAGCCACAGATGGAGAGAATCTGGAAACTGTACGGTATATTGTCTTTGTATTGTTTGACTGATGAGGAAACAACTGTTAAAGGAAATGTTGCTGGATTAATTCAATTTATATATTTTAAAAATGCTTTGACTCCAAAATTTAAGTTCAAGAACAAGTTACTGGGGAAAAGGATTTCTATTTTTGTTTCAACAGGAAATAACAAAGCAGCCTTGCAGTTAACTCAGATGTTTCCTGTTTTTGAGGAGGATGGAAATCATACTCATCAACCTTTGGAACATAAGCAGGTTAAGGAATTGGCTGAATCTGTCTGTGCTTATGGCATTAATGCTAACTACACCTCCTCACAAGTAGAGAGACTTTCTGCTATGGCTATGACCCCTGCAGACTGGATGTTTGTCACAAAAGCATGCCTCACTATGGGGCAATATTTGGAATGGAAAGCCATATGGCATGATCTTAGCCAATCACAGGCCTCCATTGATTCACGATTAAAAGGAGGATTGATGGTAGTCAATCAGAGAATTGATTTGGTGCAGGAACAAATTGACACACTCTGGCAGCTAGCCCAACTGGGCTGTCAATGGAAATATTCCAGTTTATGTGTCACCAGTGTACAATATGAAAATTATACAAGAGCTGCAAACCTTTCTAAACAACTTTTTCAGTATCTTTTAGGTGAATGGACAGGAGAATTTGATAGCCTGATGGACCAACTTCGAATGGCCATCGTCCATGTGAATTCCACCCGTGTGGACGCCTCTCTATCAGAAGGATCGTTCTCCTGGATCTCCACTGCTTTTTCCCACTTTAAGGAGTGGGCAGGTGTAATGGGGTTTGGCCTGCTGTTATGTGATGGGGTGGTGCTCCTGCTCTGGTTGGTGTGTAAGCTACGTGCTCAAGAGACACATGACAAAGTGGTTATCACTCAAGCCCTAGCTGCTATGGAGATAGGCTCCTCTCCCACTGTGTGGCTAAGCATGTTAAAAAATGGACATTAATTGTCCAATAGGACAGCCCTTGAGTCTTCTATGACATTGCACCAGGTTAGGGTGTCCATTTTTTTTTTTTTTTTTTTTTTTTTTTTACCAAAA